GGGAAGATTCATGCTCCCCAGAGGCTAGCAGGGCTGGGACACCCCTGTATACAGCAGTGAGAGCAAGCACTGATGTACTGGTCAGGAGATGGGGTCTCCTTAGTCAGAGAATATATCCTGTATTCTATATAGAGTTTACACAACTCAGTAACAAAAGACAGATAACCCAGTTAGAAAAATGGGCAATGTATTTAAACAGATATTTCTCTAGAAAAGGTCAACAGATGGCCAACAAGCACATGAAAAGATGCTCAACATCATGAGCCATCAGGGAAATAGAGATCAAAACCACAATGAGATACCACTTCACCACCACTAGGATAGCTATGATCAGAAAGATGAATAAGAAATGTGTACAAGGATGTGGTAAAATTGAAATCCTCATACACTGCTGGTAGGATTGCAAAATAGTGTAACTTTGCAAAAAACAGTCTGGTGTTTTCTCAAAAAGTTAAACATAGAGCTACCATATGAACCAGCAATTCCACTCCTAGAACTCTACCCAAAAAACTTAGACACAAACGTACATAGCAACATTACTAACAAGAGCCAAAAACTGAAAACAGCCCAAGTTTTCTTCTGTGAACTGATGATAAACATATAGATAAAAAGTGATGTATCCATATAATGGAATGCTATTCAGTCATAAAAAGGAATGAAGTTCTGATACATGCTATAACATGGATGAACCTTGAAAACATAATGTTGAATGAAAGAAAATCCCTCTGTCATCTTGTTGATTCCAACTCATAGCAACTCTGTAACCAAAAAAACAAACCAAACTCTGCCATCATATGATTCTGACTCATAGCAACCCCCTTTGGGCTTCCAAGGCAGTAAATCTTTACAGAAGTAGATTGCCCGGTCTTCCTTCCGCGAAGTGGATGATGGGTTTGAACCATCAACCTTCTGGTTAGCAGTCAAATGCCTTAGGCACTATGCCACCAGAGCTCCTTGCAACCCTGTAAGGCAGTCATAAAAGGCCACATATCAAATGATTCCATTTATATGAAATGTCTAGAATAGACAAACCATAAAGACATAAACAGATCAGTGGTTTTCAGGGCTGAGGAGAAGGGAAAATTGGGATGACTGTAATGGGTAAATAGTTTCCTTTTGTGTTGATGAAAATGTTCTAGAATTAGATCATGGTTGATTGCATAGTCTTGTGAAAATGTTGGAAACCACCAAATTGTACACTTGAAAAGGGTAAGCTTTATGGTATGAGAACTGCATCACAATAACAAAAATGAGACCAGGTTCTAAGGCCTACCTGGCACTTAACCCACATGATGCAGAGCAGGTAGCCCACTGGGCCATGATTGCCACTGATGGCCTCCCAGGGGCCTTCCTACCACACATTACTGGCAGCCTCTAGCTCTGGGCCATGGTTGTGGCCCCACATGCTGGATTCTTCCTCCTCCTGTGTATAAACAGACATACCAGAGGACCAGCCTACAGAGCACGAGCAGTCCACACACAGCAGGGCCTGGCCTCAAATAGCCCACAGAGATTTCTTGATCAAGGCAGAGTACACAAGGCTAACAGAAGAAGGAGAGCCTCCCAGCTCAGGACACTTTCCTCCTCAGCTAGAGGCCTCGGGCCATTACTTTGTCCAGACAGCCCTGTGAGGCAGCTCGGCCAGCTTCCTCTTGCCTGCCTCCCAGAGGACCTTGCTGGAGCTGGCAGCCTCCAAGGGCTCTCTAAGAAAAGGACAGCAAAGTTCTAGGGATCTCTGCCACAGACTTCACTCAGCCCTTTCCTGGGTGCCTAGCCCCACTATAGAGTGGAGGGCCAAGGTGAGGCCAGCTGCCCCAAAATGAATCCCAACCAGACTCCAGATCCACCCCCAGTTCTGACTCCACATCTGTGGGGAATGTATAGGCGGCATGCCCAAGGGTCTGGACCAAGCTGGCCCAGCCAGGGAACAATTCCCCACATTTGCTCCACAATTCATGCACACAGCCTTCTAGGCCCGCCATATCACCCATCTTAAACATTACCCCAAGGGCCATGTGGGTATAAGCCCTTGCCAACAGAGGGCAAACTAAAGTTGTCAACCCACCCAGGTTCACTATCCTCAGCCTCTATGAAGGGATGCAGCAAATCTGAGTACAAGTCTGTATCCCAAACTTGCCACGTGACCCTGGGCCAGCCCTTCTGCTCAAGGCTCAGCCCCATCCCTCCACCAAAGAAGGGCATCAGGCCAAACCAGCTAAGGCCGCTTGAGCACAGACATTGCAGCAGTCCTCAGAAGAACCAGATGGAAACACCACCTGCTAATCAAGCCAAGATGTACTCAAGCCAAGGAGGCACTAGAGCCTGCCACAGGGAGGAAGAGATGTGAGCCCCCTTGCCAGAGGCAGGCAGGCCTGAAGGGGTCTGGCCTGGTGGCTGAAGGCTGCAGAAGAGGGCAGGAGGAGCAGGGCAGCTTCGGGTAGGGTTGCAGGCTGGGGGAGGGGACTGGGAGGACGCACTTGGCCACGTGACGCCTCCCCCAGGCCAGCCTTGCTGGGTTTCTGGGCTGTAACTGGAGCTGCGTTCTTGCCTGGGAGCCTCCGTGCCAGGCAGAGCTTTCTGAGGGGGGAAGGGAAAGAAGAGGCCCGGATAAAGCCCCCTCCTCTTACTCCTTCTATACTCTTGGGCTCCAGAAGAGAATCTATAGTGCCTCAATGTCCCAAAAGACCCGCACATAGAGTGCCCCTGCCCCCTTGCCCCTCCAGCTTTGCTGGGTCAGATCTCCTAGTTCTCCCTAATAAAGTCCCTTAACTGCAACAGAAGGTCATAGTCATGGAGTGTCTTGCCCCTCTTCCCCTCCCTGACCCATCCTGCCAATGTTCCCCAGGCATGGCCAGGCACACACTGGCCTGAGGTCCTCTCTCGAGCTCATTTGGCCCCTGCCTCCACTGTCCAGTTGGCACTTGGCCTGCTCTTACAGAAAGCATCCTTCCTGCTCCTATCTCCTAGTTTGGGGAGGTCCCACTCTCCATCCTGCAGTCCCCCAGAGCAACATGCCTGACTCCTGTTTGTTCCTGCCCTATATAGCCGTGAGAGGGCCATGTTCACAGGCCAGGGCTCAAAGGAGCCTCCCCTGATGGGTCCTGGGGGGCCAGAAAGCAGGAGTCAGAGGGCTGACTGGAACAGCCACCAAAAACTCTGAAGCTCTTACTAGCTGCAAAACAGGGTTTGTTTCCTGCTATGGAGCTAAACATACACATACATATGTCCAAAATAACACAGAACACAGTAACCCCTAGAAGGAAAAAGCATAGGGGGAGGTGGGAGAAAGAGGAGTGCTGTCTGTGTGGTTGGCAGCACTGAGCTGGACCCAGACCTCCAGAAGGCCCACCAGCCCAGACTTATATGGGGAGCGGGGCCAACAGCAGGGAGACTGTAGGCAGAGAAAGCCACTGAGCAAAGCCCTGGTGCAGACAAACCAGAGTGTACGTGAGCTGGGGAGCAGTCCAGTGTGCTGGAGCCTGGGAAATGGAAAAGGCACAGCTGGACGAAGAGACCGCTCTGCGATTCAGTCTGGACCTGTAGCCAGAGCGCCCATCCTCTGACCTGACCATAGAGGTATACCGAGGGCCTCCTAGAGCATCTCTGGAGAATTGCTGGCCCTTCTCACAGCAGGTCCCTAAAGGCCTTGCACACAGTGGGCCTAGGTCCAGGAGCCAGTAGAGGGTTCAAAATAGGAGTTCCAAGGAAAGGAAACACGGAGCTGACCCTGGAAGACAACCCAGGAGAAAGGAACAGAAGGAGAAGAAAGGGGGAGAAAGAAAAACACAAAAGGAAAGTTTCCCATGAAAATATTTTATTTTCTTTGAGAACAGGATACACCTGCAGGGCTTCTCGGCCCAGTCGTCCTCTCCCTGCCCAGGCCGGGGCCAGATTCCTGGACCAACGGGGCCCTCTGCCGGCCAGGCTGCTGAGCGCGGGCGCCCGGGGCCAGGGCCGAGGAACAGGTGACAGGCGGAGGGCGGCGGCTAGGGAGCGCCGGCCGCCGGACCGCAGGACGCCCAGGACAAGGGCTTGGACGTACAAGGAGAGGGTGGCCTCGGCTCCTAGTTCAGCTCCCCGGGGCAACGGCTCCCCGGGGCAGCGCCACGAGGCAGGAGGTATTGTAGGGTAGGGAAAGCCAGCCTCCTGCCTTGGTGCCACTCTGGACTTCGGCGTGCAAAGCGCTGCAAGGATCCCTAAAAGTTGTTAGGCGCAGACATCCTGATCTGGGAGAGAGGGAGGGTGGAGGGAGGGAAGGAAAGGCGAAGAGAGACGCGCCAAAACCACAGTCGGCCGCAAACTGCTGTTGCAGAAGAAATGGGACCGCGGGAAGCGGCCCCGCGAGACAGCAGGGAGGCGGTGGCTTTGCCACGGCCTCAGCCGGGCACCGGGCCCTGAGGACTACACTGCCAGACGCGTGATAGGGACTGATCCGACAGAAGCGCTCCCGCGGGCCGGGGGCGGCGTCAGAAGCAAAGCACAAGAAAAATAAATTCCTCCAGCTTGGAGTTTCTTTTTCTTTTTTTCCTTTGGGGCTTAGCGCAAGGAACATCTGGATTTTGTACGTATTTTTTTTTGTTGTTGTGAAATTAACTTCTCAAGGAGAGAAAGGAGGGGGAAGCTTCCAGAGGGGTGTGCAGGGGCCGAGGAGGCTCGAGCCGTTTGGCAAGAGTAGGCGGCCTATGGGAGCCTGGACCCGTCCTTGTCCTGAGCAACAGGGAGTCCCGCGCACGGCGACAACGACTCCATGGTCACTGAGGATCGCAGCCCCGCGCAAACTTGGCGTGGACGCCGATCCCCCCACCCTGGCTGAGCCACGGGAACACCAACCCGCGGAATGACCGACGCGCGCGCCGCAAACAAACAGCTCCAAGCAATCCTGGCGGCCCCAGGCGAGTCCCGGCCCTGGGCACCTGGCCCTGCCGCTGCCCCCAGGCTCGCAGGCGCCGGCAGCCCCGCGGCGCGCCCGCCCCTAGCCCGGGCTGCAAAGGGGCACCTACCCGAAGTAGGCGGCCGAGGGGCGCAGCGTGGCGAGTAGCAGCGTCAGCGCGAAGGACGCGGAGAGCCAGCGCGCCAGGAGGGGCCCATCCAGCATCTTGCTGCGCCGCGGCGGCTGACCATCTCGCTCCCCCCGGCTCC